TCCGAGCCCCCCCTTAAAATTAAATCGAAGTAATTTTTGCAATTTTTACTTAAAAGCGGACACAATTTGGTAAATTTTCCCGTTTTATTTTTTTCTTTACGATAATTTGAACCGGAGTTATGATTTTTTGAAAATAGGTCAAATTTGACCTTTGACCTATCATAACTCGGTCAAAAATTAAGATATTGATCTGCGGTTTGCGCCAAAATTCTTAATTTTTTATGCTCTTTCGAATGAGGTATCACAAGATAGGGGTTGCTATTTGAAAAAAAAAAGTTGGGGGGCCCCCATCCCCCCCTGAGGGGGGGACCAAAATTTTGACCCCCCCAAAAGATGGTCCCCTTTGAGGTAGGAACATTCCCAAAGTTTCATTTCCCTAGGTCAATTCGTTCAAAAGTTAGAGGGGGGGTCGGGGACTTTTCGCTCACCCTGTATAGAGAAATGCTCATTGTTGAAGGATTCGCCTATGTTAACATTTATGATTTTTCATTCTCCGCATGATAAACAGCTCTGTGAAAGTTCTTAATAAAAGGCTTGCCGGAAAACTTTACGCCGAATTAACTCAATAAGTACGAATAAATTGAAAATACGAATTAAGAATACCTCGACACACAAATACAGCAATTTAGGAAAATAAATGTTCCTTTGGAGCGATTTAAAAGTGATTAGCAGCAAAATATCTCACAAAAAATAAACAAGTAAGGGGGAAAGCCACCCCTCCTCGCCAAATGTCCTGATTGGATGTATGATGAATTCTCCTGCTTTCTTCGAGCGATTGTAACATTTGAGAGTGATACCACTCTACGGCCACGCGGGAGCTCGGGTTGCCTACACTTGAAACTGAAGGCAAACCGACAAAGAGCTGGAGTCAGATCTACAACGTTTTTAAAGGCTTTCTCCGATGCTAATAAAAATTCCCTGATAATGCTCGATTTTCCAGGTTTCTAGATACCCTTGTTTTTCCTTAAGCAATAAAGTTGGCTTGTTTCTCTTCGAAATAACAAAACAGAAACAGACATTTTAAAACACGGCAAAGTGGATAAGTGGTTTTAGACTTTGGCCATCGATATGGCCGTTAATGGGCAATTTCTAACTTGCGTGTCTCCTAAGCAGTGCTTTTGAGTAAATAATGAGGATGAATATGAGGAAAAAAGAAAGAGGAATTCATCACACATCGTTCCTTTAATGATGCTCACCTGGCGATGCAAAAAATACATATGAAAGGTTAATGGCACTGCTATCCCTTCGATGATGCCCTAGGCAGGGGAGCACTGCCGTGCTAAGGAAGAACGCCGTATGAATCTTCAGGCGTTGCCAAATTTCCCTCGATAAAACACGAATTTGTCAGTAAACTTGTGAATATTTTTCTTCCAATTCTTCAGATAATTTTGCTCGCAATTTCACCGAAAATTCTTGAAAATTTCAAGGGGAAATGTTCATAACTTTCCCAAAAAATGACCATTTTATCGATGGAAATTCGGCAACTCTCGCATGTTCATACGGCGTTCTCCCTCAGCACGGCAGAGCAGTGGAGGCGAGGGCCAACGCGACGCCGATTTTTCGACGGTACCCAACGGAGCGACGCGACGCGCGATGCGGTTTCCAGACGACGCCGCGACTCAGCGGCCGCCCGCAACACTCGGGACCCGGCGCGATGATATTAGTGCGATTCCGAGTTAATTTACCATCGGCAATTTCTTGGCGAGCGCCCAAAAATGCTTGTATAATTGTCTCCAGTTTGCGTGTCTTCCTATGATGGACACGGAGCGGTGTGACGAGGACGGCGGATGAAGGCGTTGCTCCGTCGCCTGGGTCATTGCTCGCCCCAACCGCCAAGGCCCGGGGCTTGAAATTTTTCAGCCGAGCGGGTGAAAGTTCCTTGGACTTACACCGCTGAAAGAGAAAACCGCTCGGCGCCGCTCCGGGGTAAATTCGGATTCAGGAAATATTTATTGGTCGGCGGGGAGTAACGACAAGTTTTTTATTCATTAGTGCTTAAGCATGGGCAGTAGGCTGCGTACCCTCCGGACTATACTGCCGTGCTAGGGAAGAACGGCGTATGAACATTCGAGAGTTGCCAACTTTTCTTCGATAAAATGTGAAATTTTGAGGAAAGTTATGGATATGTTTCCTTGAAATTTTTAGGAAATTTAGACAAAATTGGGAACAAAATTATCTGAAAAATTGGAAGAAAAATCGTTTTAGATTTACTAGAAAATTCTTGTTTTATCAAAGGAAATTTGGCAACGCCTGAAGGTTCATACGGCGTTTTTCCTTAGCACGGCAGTATACTACCGAGCTATGGAAAAACGCCGTAAGAACCCTCGTCAGTTGCCAAGTTTCTTTTGGTTAAATACGAGCTTTCAGGAAAACTCGTTAATTTTTTCCGTCTAATTTTTTGGAGAATTTTCTTCGGGATAAAATCTAAATTATCTGAAAATTTCAAGAGAAAAGAATCATAACTCTTTTCGATGGAGCCATTTAATTGGAGACAATTTGACAACACTCGAATGTTCATACGACGTTTTTTCCTCATCACAGTAGTATAGCATTTGTTGTTGTTTATGTGTATGGTTGAATAAAGTACTTCTAATTGAGTTCGATGAAAAGATGTACGTGCGTGTGTGAGGGATGCTATTTCAACTTGGCAAAGTCGCTGAGGATTTTACTGGACTCGCATCAAATCTAGAGTGGATGATTGTCTGTAGGCTTAGAGTTCGAACAAAAAGTCTCATCCGCCTAAAAATGTTCAGAAGTCGTAACTTAAAGTTTTCCCATTCATATTGAGCTAAATTGTGGAAAGATGGTGCTAAGCTCCGAACAATACAAGAGGTCAAGTTTTCTTTGAACAGGCACTAAAGGCTCGTATTCCAATTGAGGAGCTTTCCGAAGGAAGGGCACATAGCAAAAAATCGCGTATGAGAAAAATGCATCTTAAGTTTCCATCATTACTGTCCGGTCACTGATGATAACTTACATCCCAGTAGCAGCTTGGACTCCCGATCTCGAATGTAAGTCGCAGTCAGTGGCCATAGAATAATGATGTAAACTTCAAATGGATTTTTCTCTGACGCGATTTTTTGCTCTGTGCCCTTTTTCCGGAAAGCTCCTCAATTTCATACTTTTCTTCCCCTTTGAGAACTATTAAAATAATTTCAGCGGGTAAGTACATATTATCTGGCAGTTGGTGTATTGCATGACATGCCTTTTCTAAAAATTTCGAGCCTCAGATCGAGGTCTTTTAGCAATCAGGCTGGGCTTCAAAATTTAAACCCATTTTTTTAAATTGAGAAAAATATTGCGATGATTTGTTCTTTGACCCCGGACTTTAACGACGTTTAAAGTCAGTTTTAAATTGAAGAAAAACCAACCCATTCATATTTCATCCAATTTAATATATTTTAATGAATCGCTGCTCTGAAGAAAACCGCAGGTTTATGAGTTCCGATTTTTCTTCCTGGAGTGTCGAGGAGACGCCCTGGCGGCACAGTGGATCGAGTCAATAGGAGAGGTCGGACAAAATTTGGAAACTTTAAACACTCATAACTTTGTTTATTAACAATTTTAGGATTCTACAAGTAGTTCCATGGGCCTTCTCGTGAAATTTTCTAAAACTAGCACCCCTTGAAATTCAAAATAAGACGAAATAAACATTGAAATTTGCAGTTTCAGTCAAAAATTGTACGTCCGACCTCTCTAATTGACTCGATCCACTGTGCGCCGTATTGAAAACTTGTCCTCGTGACAAAATTGAGGGGAGACAGAGAACTTATTTCCTTTTTTCATTTCAAGTGCTTTTACTCTTAGACGCGTGTATGCTTCATATATAGAAATGGAACGTGAAATTTCGAAGAGGCCAAATGAATTTCACAAAATTTCAAGTACGAAACTTCCAGCAAAATTAATAATATTATATTAAATATGTATCCCCATTTGAAGATGTGGTAAAGAATCCATTATTATAAGGTGTTCATTGCAAACTCTCTGTTGATGGATCTTTTTTCTTAGGTTTAAACGGCAGATCAAACGGTGTATTACAAAGCAAGCCATGCCACTGGCTACCTGATGATTTGCTGTGTATGAAACTTAAACTAATGCTGACTTTTGCAATTTATCTAAACGTCAATATCAAATTATTTTTCGGCGGGGAAAGTCGAGTAAAACTTACTGGACGTTTCGCTGAAATGGTCTTTAAGAAACGAAGAATACAATGATAAAAATCACTCGTCCCCGGATATTACGCTAAGCGTGATACGACTATTTCAACTTCTGGGTCGCTCAAATTGTATCCATCGAGTTGAAGGCGAACTTGGCCTCCAACTGCTGTTAACAGATATTTAGATCAGTGCAAAAGCAGTGCTAAATTCAATGAACACTTTTGTTGGTTAAAGATTTGAAGATTAAAAACTTCATAGATGGTTATTGTCAAAAACTTCGTACTTCCAACTGTGACATTGCAAAACTCGGATTATGTTTTCTTTTTAAAAAAAGAACAAAAACAGCAGACTGTTTTTCTCGAGTTAATTGTAAATTTTATTCCCTCCTTCAAAATAACTCTTTAGAAAATTTCAATGACATAAATATTGGAGTCAATACCAAAAGTCGCGGTATTTTTAGGAAAGAATTAAATATCACTGGGTATTTTTGAGTGTTGCGATATAGATACGCATTTTTTGACTGACTGTGAGCCATCGAAATATGTTGTTTCGAAATGTAGGTCATTTTAATTTGTCTCCTTCCTCTAAATTCTGACTTGTCACACAAAGTGGCATGAATTCTTCAGATGAGAACCTGTACTACTGAACACTTTTTACGATGAAAAGAATACCTAATTTCTTGACCATTGAGTATAGGACCTCTTTTCTTGAATTAGATGTAACGTTAATTTTACAAGTCATTTCTCAGTAGCGATGACTACTAAAAATGAAAGAGGAGAGGAGAGAAAACGTAGTTAAGCTCGTTAGAAGTGTTACTTTGAGGCGAAAAGAGGAAACACAAAATTCCAAATGATACTCATTTATTTCAAAATTCAGAAACATAACTGATACAGTTTACACGGTAGAAACGTATGACCTAATACCTACTTAGAACTTCGCAATATTTCAGGTGGAACATTATCTGTAATTTGATGAAACAGCAAGTGATGGGTAGATATAAATGAAAAATTGACAAAATAAATGGGCAAAGACAAACTGCAAGAATTAGGCCACGGGTAGATGAAGAATCAACTTGAAAATTAGATAGTTTTGACGAAATAAACATAAATAAATTAAAAAGACCGGTGACTAAAATATTTAATGAACTGAGCAAGGTTAACTGCACGGCTAATTAACGAACGCCGTTTTGAAATCTTTTACACGTTAGGAGACAATAGTTGACTCCTGAAATATAGAAAATGATAAAGGAAAAATGATAGAGGAGAAAAGCAATGAGATACAGTAAAGAGGAGTGCACTTACTGCACCTAGATATTTGAGTAAATAACATTAATATGGGAGTAAAAGAAATTAAAATTGCCTTCGAAGTTCTCAGAAAAGATGAGATAAAACTAAGTAAATTGGGTTGTGAATCACTTCACGTTCTAAGGTGTTTGACATCGGCTATAAATTTGGCAGAGCTTAGTTTAAGCACTGCTGCAATTAGCAAAGAAATGAGTTTAAACGTAATAATAAATACAAAATAAATAACACAAAAATCAAAACAAACAAAATGAATTTTAGAAATGAACTTAATATTGAGGTTCCTATGCTTGCTTCAGCCTTTACAACTAAAACTGATTTTTGTCATTCTGGAGAGAATGCAATCAGACTATCAGCTGCTGAGCGTGGTTAAAATCACCTTCTCTCATGGGAGGCATAAAACAAAAGTTTTGGAAAACATTTCGTTTATTTTCCTGGCTGTTCTAACTTGGACAGAACCTAAAACCAAGCGGAAACATCTGAAAAAAAAATTGGTAAATGAGTAAAATCTTATGAACTGGTAAAAATGCAGATATTTGTACTCAATGGTACTTTTTTAAACTTACTATGATTCTTAAAATTTTCTTAGTCGACTCGTCAAGACATAGGAATCAAAATAAATGTTCAAAGAAAGCACCTTCTCAAGTTAATTGAAAGGGAGGGGGACATATTAAACATTTGACTGCATTGTGAGGAGTAAAGGAGGATACTGTTAGGTAATTTACAACAGTATTTCTGCAGTTCTTTCACTACTTCTAGAATATTATCACAGAAAAAAAAAGAAGTTTCTTTCAATGAAGAAAGCTAAATTGCTTAAATTAAACAAAGGATTAATGATAATTACAGTAATTTGAATTTTCAGATACTCTGAAAGTGAGGTCTGGTTTTCTTTCTCAATCAGGAGAGCAATAATAATTATGATGGAAAAACATAGAAAAGTTTGTCAGAGAGTTCGTGAGCAGAATGAGACCTACGAATACAATGACATTATCGAAAAGAATTGATTTGATTCAAGTTGCTTCGAAGCTAAGTCTCCACGATGTTGATCATTTGATGGTTCACAAACTGTTGATCATGTGTGCAATCCGTTCCCATAGAACCATTAATTTATATGGCTTAAGTCAAAACAGATAAAGTAATATATTAAGTACATCGGGGTCGATCTTCATTTCAACTCTAAAATCGTGAGAAATTGCATTGCATTTGCTACTGGGAAACTGCATATCAAAGTTAATCAAAGAGTAAAAAGCATTATCATCAATTGAGTGATTGAGGAATAATTTTGATCTTACGGGATGGTATAATGGTCGATTTTTCCATCCGTTTTAAGTAAACGTAATTCAGGATGGAAGAAACATCCATTGTTATAATACTATGAGCGTAAGCAGAGCACATCAGGGGAAATTATGTGAAAGTCAAAATCAGAAATCTGAGTCAGAGGAGCGAAATCAGAAAAAAATTTGGAATAGATGGGCTAACCAGACCAAACATACATCACTGCGGGAAACTTAGAAGAGTAAAACATAATGGTAGTATCTAATTCAATGGATTTGCTACCTTATACGTAAAAGCTTACGGCGCTAGAACCCGCTCTTATGCGAGGGGAGAGTAATTCAAAACTTAAAGGAAAAAAGCGTAGTTGTTAAAATTAAGAGAAATAGAAAATACTCCCAAGTAAAAATGAGCGTAATGAACAAACATAAATAACACTTGCATGACTAATTACGTGACAACAATGATTGTTATGATAAATTTATTGGGGGCAGTTCAAGAGATGTCTCGTGAGTAAGAAAGTAGGTATGAGCAAACAATGGAATATCGAATTATTCAAGGTTTAGAGATTTCTTGCAATGATCGATCTTACCCTGTCAAAATGGAAACATGTTAACTGGTTTTGATATTTACTTTGTACAAATTTAGCGCAGGTTTGGAACATACCGCTTTTGATTTTTTGAGATGATGCATCAATTTTACTGAAACTTGATTTTTGAAAAATGTTGAGCATAAAATGGTACGAAAAATTTAATTCTTGAAAATGTAAATTCTTTCATTGAGTAAATTAAGGGAGTGGCACTGTATCCTGAGATAGAGAAACTATTATTTGTAAAAAATAATTTGAAATTTTCATTTTCGTTTTTCTTGCAGTAAGATGAATGAATTATGAAAAGGAGCAAATCATTAATTAACTAAACAAAAAGAAAAAAAAAACTGGAGACGAGTAATTACATGAAACATGAACATGTACGTTAACAATTCAAAAATATAAAATAACACTATTATTAAAAAGAAAAAAGTACTATAAGTAATACAAACAAATAATGACAAAGATTTAACACCTAGAACAAAAATAAAAATTTTCTATTCACATTAGTATGTGCAAACATAGTCTATTTACAAAATATGTACAGGAGAAAAGAAAAATATATATTTCCAGTAGATACAAACTAAACTTTAAATAAGCGTAAAATAGTTTCAAGACAAAAAAATACATTTGCTTTAAGATACGAAACTTCAAATGAGAAAAGTATAAGACAGTTACAAGAGGAATTGTTAAATAAAAATAAAAATAATAGTGAACAGAAAACTGCCAATAAGTTACTGAGGGCATGACATGATACGGGGTGTGTTGTTGAGTAGAGGGATAGGCGTAGTAATAAAAGAGGCAGAAGTATTTGATTATGAGCAGAAATGTTGGGACGAGGCATCTTCGCCATTGTCATAAATTGCCTGAGGTGTGTAGCTGTTCTACCACGATTTCGAAAGAGTAACATTGTAAATATACATGGGGCTGCAGTTTTGAGAATAGTCAATGCAAGCATAAATGAGATTCAGATCTGAAATATAACAGTAAACGGACGGGATTTTAAAAAAAATAAAATAAAAAAAATAAAAGGGCACACTATTTAGTGACAAGAGAGAAAAGCGAGAAAACGACTGGCCTTACCTAAAAATGTTCAAGGACTTCGTCGTAATCTGTCAGCTTTTCAATTGTCATAATTAAGTAAAGTGGAGCAACACAAATGATGCTGAAATAGTGTGTGGGTCGGGTCGGCTAAAATAGAAAAAATCAGGGGAAAAAAAGACAGAAAAAGGGATGAAGTAAGGGGCAAAGAAGAAATTTAAAAGTAGTCGACTTTAAAATACCCTTTCACTGCAGAGAAGAAAATAAGAAGGTAGGTCAGAGAAGCTTTTACAAGAACTTCGGTACTGAAAATGAAAGAAAAAGAATCCTCTTGTTTGAACATTATCACACTGTCTTGAGAAATAAATTAACTCACGAATCTTAGTTTTAATTTCATCAAACTTAAATAACCATAATCCTAACTTTAAATTTCATGAGGTACTAAAAAAAATTGATAAATGCAAGTTGAATCATACATAGACTGAACAATTAATGTTCCAGTTAAAAATTTACAATCAGTTCTTCGAAAACAAAGGAAGTAAAAAAATATGACAAAGATAAAGCAAAGAAAAATAGAGGTGATATACATAAATTTACAAACAGTTTTTAAAAAATAAATCACAACATTCTATTAATCTAACACTTTCAAAAAGAGCAGGGAAAATAAACCTAACTCAATAGCAAATCACAAGGAAGCAAGACTAATACTTCTTTCAAAATGAACTATGATTAGGAAAAATGAGAGAGGCAATGCGAGAATAGTTTCATTCAAAATCGTTATTTATGAACTGAGTAATCCATAATCGAACTAGGCGAAACACCGTATTGTAGAAATCCAGGATAAAAGGGAAGGAAAATTCAATTCCATCATAAATTGCAGAGTTACAAGGGTCTGAAACTGTCAAACGAAATAAAAATAATCCGAGGGGTAAAATAAGAGGTTAAATAGTATTGAAAAAAGAGAAAAAAAGCATTTAGAGTCTTATGGTAACATAATTTTACTCGGGCTTAGTTTCTAGAAAGGAGAGAGAAAATCGTATTAAGTACAAATACTTGCTTAAAACGATCAGAATAGACATGTTACGAGTAAATTTAGCAGTCCTCCATGAATAAATACAAATGAATAAATAAAGAAAAAAAAAAAGTTTCAGGAGAGTGGAGAAAAGAACAAAAATGACAGTCTTTTGAAAAGACAACAAAATCAAGTTTAAGGGTAAAAAAATAGTTAAAAAGGCTAACAATAAAAACATTGTTGGTAAATTGAATGATTAAGCTATACTACACTACTACTTTATCTTACAAGAAATTATATCATCCTCAACACAATATTTGAACTTAATTTTACAAACAGTGTTTCTCGTCATTCCTGCCGGCAGAAAGCATTTTGAGTTGAAATTTGAAAATGTTCCGACTGGCAGGAGATTAATTTATGAGACAGTACCTTGACTATCAACTCTATCTGTACTAAGCATCATCAATATTGTAAAGCTAGTTGTTAATTATTGATAGTATTCACAAAGTGTGGGGTTTTAAGGATGGATACTAACCAGGAGATGGCAAGGGGCTGAAATACTACATTTCAGGGGGTTTACTGCTTCCAACAACTGCATTAATTTATTCAGTAAGTAATAAAGAGTAGTGATGTACCTTCCTTCAGTACAACGATGTGCAGATTGAATTTCTGAGGCTAAGCATACATGAGAAAGGATGAAAAATTCGACCTAGCAATATATTAGGAGAAGTAAACTAATTAGGGCTAACATAAAACTATAAAGTATGTTGCTAATGTTGATTTTCAGCCACTTGCAAGGTCTCGCGATGACTAAATTCAATATTCACTGGGAACTAGGCTGCTACGCAACCGGTTACAAATTTAATTCTGCGTATAATCGTAAATAATCAAGTATGTATGTATATAAAAAAGAAAAATTTCTAATTGCATCGAACTCAAGACCACACCACGCATTCCGTCGATAAACGTCACGGGGACCGATTGGGACATATGATTTCAGAGTCAATAGTGACCGTTGCATATCCTGCACCGAGTGAATTGATCAAGCGAAGAAGTTTGAGAGATCTCAGTCTTGCCTCAATTAATTTAGCACGTCTCTCATTTTCGCGCGTCCATCGATGGAATGCACGTTGCGCTCCGGGCGAAGATGCTCAGAAAAAAGATAAAAAATAAAATGGATGCTGAGCCGCAACCGGTGAAATTGGTAAAATTCGTTTGTGAAAACCTAGCCGGCGCTCGCAAAGCGCGGTCGGAATACAGCCTTCAGGAATGTTTCATTCGAGTATTCAACCTCGCCTCGCACCTAGCGGGCGGCCGCTAAGGACTTGCGGAGCATGGAGACGGCCGAGCGGAGGCCTTCCTGCTTCCTGCGGAGGGCGGCCAGCTCGGCGCTCATCTGCTGGCTGGACGTGCTGAGCTCCATGCAGAAGAGCGCCGCCTCGTTGAGGATCACCACCTTGGGCGAGCGTTTCTTGTGCTCGATCCGCGGGACGAGGCATCGCAGCTCCTCGAACGAGTTCCGCAGGTCGACCCGACGCTTCCTCTCCATCGAGTTGTGGAAGGATCGCCTGTCCGACGGGACCTCCCCTTCCGAGTCGGTGTAGCCGAAGCGGGACTTGGCCGGCGAGGACTTCTTCTTGGTGACTCGGGCGCGCTTTCGGTTCTGGGCGCGGCGGGCCTTCGGGTCTTCGGTGTAGTCGTCGTCGTAGGAGAAGCTTTTCCGTCGCTTCCGCTTGACGTAGCGCTGGGACTTGGTGAAGTAGGTGCTGGGTTCTTCCAGCTCGTTGCTCGAGGACTCGTCTTCGTCCTCCTCGTCCTGGGTCGCGATCGCCATCGCTCTCGTCCGCGACGTTCCGCTCGGCCCGAAACAGTCTCGCGAAACGCTCGAGGAGCGCGAGGAGGAACGGATGCTGCTCGTGTCTTGGAACGATACCACGTCGACTTCTTCTTCCTCTGAAACATAACCAAAAATAACAACTAATCAGAAACTTGCAGTTCAATTCATGCATTAGGAAAACCTGAGGCACATCGAGGTCCTCAAGAACACTTTTACTTTCAACAACTAATCACCAACTTGTAGTTCAATTCATGCATCAGGAAAACCTGAGACACATCGAGGCCCTCAAGAACACTTTTACTTTCAACAACTAATCAGCAACTTGCAGTTCAATTCATGCATCAGGAAAACCTGAGACACATCGAGGCCCTCAAGAACACTTTTACTTTCGGGGTTTCATCACTTCATCATTGACCGCAGGGAGTCGCCGAATTGGTTCCCATTTCCGAGGACGGTCTTGGTTCCCATTTCCGACAACGGTCTTGGTTTCCATGTCCGAAGACGGTCTTGGTTCCCATTCTCAGGTTTTGGTTCATCCGGGAACCAGTTCAGACTAAGAGGAACGGCCACGGGAACCAATTCAGGTTCACCCCGACAGCAGTGGTCGTCTACCTTTCTTTTGGCTCTTGACTACCTCTCGAGAGGATAGTTGCTTGGTTGCTCAACGAATGGCACGGCAAGTCACTTAATAGCCAACTAAGAGGAAGGATGTAGGTAAAAGTTGAGTATTAAAGTCCCGAAAGTACAAACTTCCATCATGGCCCCCTGGTTGAGGCGATCAGCATGACGAACATGAAGACGATTCATTTTATCGGAGGGTTTAAAAGTCTTTTTTAAAACTTTTTCGATGGAAAGCCCCCGGACCTCTCTTCGGCCCTGAAGGAAACGCCTTCCTGGGAGCTGATAACAGGATCTGTTGTTGGATTTTTTCTCGGGACGGCCCTGCCATCACTGATGGATTTAAGCGATATGGTGCTGAACCTGATGGAGTCGATAATACAGCATTTACAGAAGACACTACTTATATTCATGTCAGACTTCCAAACGAGGAGTTTTCACCGTTTTATGATTATCTTGACAATTAATCGGTGTAAAACACGACGATGAGACTGCGACATGCGCAATTGACCCATTAACATTGAGAGAGCGACGAGGCGCCGTATTATGTAAATTGCAGCATGACTGGAATCCGTTGGCATTAAGATATTTCGTTCGTCTAGAAGACCAAGACCACATCGCTCATGACTCGGCGTCGGCGGTCGGCGCGCTCTCGCTCCAACTAATCGCGGTGCGCGTCGATTCATGTGCCATTGTGCCGGTCATGGTCACGGCCATGGTCACACGAGTTCATCACTCGCACGACCAGTTCGCGGTTCGCGCTAGCGCTCGCGCGGTTCCGACCCGCGCCCGCGACTCGCGCTGCGTCGCAGTCCCCGCCGCCGCCGCGGCATTCTCGTCTTCCCGCGCCAACGCAAACACACCCTGCCCCCGGATTTCCAACCTTTCGTGTCCGCTCCGTGCATCGAGGTCGCATGACAAACAGTCGCGCGTATCGAAAGTCGGGAAACAGGTCGAAAAATTAGAATTTTCGAACATTTTTTCAGGGGTAATAACGTGCGACATCCGAGCGATACACAGTGGATCGAGTCGATTAGAGCGGTGAAATGAGTGAAATTTGATGAAATTTTTGACTATAACTGCAAATTTTGATGTTAAATAGGTCATTTTTTAAATTATGAGTGGTGCTTCATGAGGTAAATACCACGAGGAAACCAATGGAACCACTTTGAAAATTTTAAAGGACTGATTAAACGAAGTTATAAGCATTCAAAGTTTCCAACTTTTGTCCGATCTCTCCCATTGCCTCGATCCTGTGTGCAATACCTCCGGTAATCGTGTCACGGTTTCTTTGCGTCTATCTCTCCTCAGCTTTAACTCAGATGTTCAGTCGTGGAAGGGAGGAAAAATGCCAAAAAATGTACCAAGTCGTCAATGATCAAAAATTATGGGGCTCAATTTTGTAAGATGTTAATTCTGTTCCGGTGATCGTACCAAGTGGAGAACGTTCGGTATAAGAAAGGATAGAAAGAATATATAATAATGTAAAAAATAAGTATGCGAATATTTACATGCAAGACGCGTTCGCAGGAATATCCTAAAGTCAGCCGGTTTGGGAACCAAACCAAGGATGCCATGCTTGAAAATCTTGTAAAAACCAGCTTGATATTGTGATATTATTCAGTGATGCACCTACCATAAGTTACTCTGGAGAAGAGACTTGGGCAAAATTTGAAGGAGGGGGGGGGGTGTCGTGTGTTACCATTAATTGTCGCCTACTTTGAACCGAGGAACTTGCGCGCCAAACTTCATGGGAACCGACGAGGGCATACCTAACAGTATCGTGAAAAAGGGTTGAACAATGATCATTTTGAAACACCCTGTAGGTACGAAGCTTTTGTTAGTTGTAGCTATGCAGACCATTACTTAACAAGAGGTATTTCTTCGGCATGCGAACATCAGAACTAAACGATGAAGCCGCGAATTCCTGGCGAACACGGCCAAGGATTGGCGATGGACCATCAACATGTCCATGCTCTAATAGAAAACCCCGGATGGCAGTAAATCATAATCATTTAATTTGGCAGCCGTGCGTCGTCCAACGTTCGCGGCATTTTAATTTCAGAAATATTAAATCCACGATCATCGTAATTAACACATCATATACCACAGTCCGCGCTGCGTGCCGACTGGAACTCGGCGAGGTATTCCGCTGAGCGGCGACCAGCACTGTCGCGCTGAGGAAGAACGCCGTATGGACATCCGAGAGTTGCCAAATTTCCCCCTCTTAAATATTAATTTTTGAGACAAACAATGCTTATTTCTACGAGAAATTCTCCGATACTTCAGATCACATTGCGAAGAATATTGTCTGAAAAATTGGACGGAAAATTTTCGCAAGTTTTCCAGAAAATTCGAATTTTATCAAAAGAAATTTGGCAACGCACGAAGGTTCATACGGCGTTCTTCATTAGCACGGGAGAGCGGTACCCGGTTGCATTCTGCTTGAGAAGCTGCACTTGTAGCCGTTGTTGACTCGAGTACGGGGTACGGTTCTGACAGCTCGGGATCAATGAACGATACGGCTTTTGCACGTGGCCGCATTTCATTCAGTTCCTTTTAATCCCCCTCTAATCTGCTATGAAAGAGCATGAAGTGATTACTCTTGGAACGGGGGCGGGCTCGACTTTATTAAGTCCACACACGAGTAAATTCTATAAATTACTCACGTGGAAAATGATGTTGTGTGCCACGCGGCGGTGACAAAGAGAATTCAAGATCAACTTAGTCTTCAATAACGGAGACCGAGTCTGGAGATCAAAGTTTTCCGCGAAAGTCAAGTGCCAGGAACGGAAAAAGGAAAGTTCCCGGTGACTCTTTAAAGTTTGAACGAGCATGTAAGCGAGTTTTCCTTTCCGAGTTCCTCAAGAGCTATATTAGAGCCGGGAATTCCGGAGAAGCTTCCACTTGAATCCCTAAAGATAGGCGGTTGTCTGGAGTCCCTGAGACGTAACAGACAAGGTTAGAAATTCGAGCCGGGAATTCCGGAAAAGCTTCCACTTAAGCCCCGAAAGAAAGGCGGATGTCTAAAGTCCCTGAGACGTAAGAGACAAGGTTAGAAAACTCCGATTCATGTGATCCCCAGGACGTGAACGTAAGAGACAAGGTTAGAAAACTCCGATTTATGTGATCCCCAGGACGTGATAGTGTTTCAACCTTCAGATACAGTCCTCCAGCAAAATCTTCCGGAGATCGTAAAGGAGTCGGAACGAGGGTGTTCAAGCGCGGGAAAACGGGAGGAAAGGCGGGAACGCCTTGACGCAGCGGAGAAACCCGCAGGACGGCCGGGCGAGGGATGAAAGTGTAGCGGGGTGGGCGCACTGCGGCGCATCCTGGAAATGTCAAGGGCGGGCGCGCGCCCCGCCAAGGTCGCGCAGGGCCCGCGCGGGGAGAACGGGCAACGACCGGGACAAGGTTACTACGCTACGCAATGCGCACGGGCAGCGGCGTACAGGGATCGATGAGACGAGACGGGCCCGGCGGAGGGGCGGCCGGGGCGGGAGGGGGTGGGGTGGCGAGAGAGAGGGGCGCTGCCGTGGGGCGCGGCCGGCGGCGACGCCCGCGGAGACCACGTCACGGGGTTGCATCACTCGCGGCGGCCGGCGGATTAATAATCAATACCCGACCTTCTCAATACTCGGCCTATGGCCACGTGGACTTCATTCAGTCACTCCGTCGTCACACCCTCCGCAGCTTCCCGCTCGGGCAAATCCGCGTCCGGCGTCCATCCGGCGCCAGGCTCCTATTTCCGGAGAAGCACTTGTCTCTTTATCAGACCTTGTTTAGCATGAAAAGTAGAGACATATACTTTCGATATGTTCAAAATCTACGAGTAAAACAGGGAGGTCACTTGATTCGGGGCCTATTTTGCTGCAAAAACTGGAATGATGTGAGTGCGGAGCGGGTGCAGGGTGTCTACTGAAACAGGCTGGTCAAAAATGAGTGCTTTTACAGTACTTTTTCGGTACATTCTCGAGAAATTCAGTACTTCCTCCAACAGAAAAATTCCGTACTTTTTTCGTACCTCCATTTGACGAAATTAGAAAAATTTCAAAAATTTGAAATTGCGACAAAAAATTAACAAAAATTCCGGACCTTTATGCGGAATTTCCGCACTTTTTCACTACTTCCGGACCGCCCCTAAAAAATCAGAACTATTTGCGGACTTTACAGGAATTCCAGACTTGTAGACACCCTGGGGTTCCACTTTTTTCGTGCTGTACTTCGCTCTCACATAGCAGATTTCATTTTTTACGAATACATCCCTCGAGCTTTTTGGGGGCAAAATAGGCCACGGAGTGTGTTGGGTGACAGTATACGGTATAATTGTGTTATTGCGACTGACAAGATTAATATTTTTTTTAAAGTATTTTTAAGATTTATTTTCCGATTAGGTGGGTCCAATTTCGACGAACTGCAATTATAACCGAGATTTATCGAAATAATAAGCTTGCTCCGACAAAGTTCGATCATAATTTATAATTTATACGAAATGCCC